TCAAAAGATTAATCTAATCAATTTATTTTAAAATAAAAGATATTTGTGTGTCGTTTTGGTTTTGTTTTGGATATTGTGTAACTGCATAATCATACAGTGTTATTATGCAAACAAGATAAAACATTTGACTATAATTTACTTAAATGAAATGTCTTCATTTGTTTGCTAAATATTTCTGTTACTAAAATATTAAATTTTTATTTAAAAAAAAAGAAAAGATGCTTAGACGCTATAATAAGCAAAAAAATTATACATATATATATATATAAAACGAATCTCTACAAACGTACGTAGTCCAAAATACAAACAACTGACTCCTTCGGTGATATCATCTAATAACAATTTTGGCGTACTTAAGATTGTTGAGATTAATTAACAAAAGCATTACATTAAAAACAGATGAGCAAAGTAGAGAGTGTCACCAAAGCCGAGAAGCAATGTAAAGAAACATCCACGCTACACAAGTACAGAAGACACAGAACACACTTGAAACTCAATTAATAATAGAGAGAGAATAAAGTTTAATCTTAGGTTGTGACATGGTGAACAGGAAACCAAAAGGATAGTGAGCACCACCCGAGAAAGCGATCTGAAAGAGTCAAGCTACGCCGGGAGAAACATTAAATGCTGGGACTTCACACTTAGCCACGACAGGAGATATTGCAAACACACATTTAATCAAGAAGTATGTTAACAGATTTGTTTGTAATCACTCTGACAAACTTTCAATCTGCGCAGTCTCCAAACCACACAACAAGTACCAAACACTCGCATCATATACATACATAAATTGACAATACACACTATCTTAGAAAACAAATTAGCACATATATAATGTAAAAAAAAGATTGTAAACATTTTTTTTGAAATTAATCATAGTTGGATACTTTTAAAAATAAAAATAGTGTTTATACGAGTCTATAATGTATTGTTGTCATAATATAAAAAAAAATCAATTTCATGCTCATTAATTTGATGAAAACTGAAGACCAGTTATTATTCACACGAAGAATATATTATACTACACTATCTTTGTAGATTTGATTAGCAATTTTAAAAATATAATATGAATAAGAAATATTAAAGTGCATATAAAACAAGTGTCAAATTCATAAAGACAATAATATTTAAAAAAAAAATTGTTTGTAGCAGGTTTGTTGTTGTATATAGTTTAAAATTAAAAAAAAATATTTAAAAGAAGAATAAATAATTTGTCAAAATTATAATACACAATTGACGCATATCAAATACAACAATCTACTATATACAAAGTAAAACAAAAATTTAATAAATTGTATAAGAAATTAGTGAAAATTAATAATAACAATTAGATGAGAATGTGTTTTAACTAAGCAAATCACACAACAGAAAGGAAAAATAATAATTAAAAAAATGAAGTATCACAAAATATATTTGATAGAAAATTAAAAAATACATTACAATATTAAACATATTAGTTAACCAAAATAAGTATAATCCTTAATCTAGAAGAGGAGAAATTCATTATAATGTTCTTTACATGTTTCATAAAATCCAGATTAATGAAAATAAAAGGTGAATCGCATGAAAAAATTCATGGTCAGCAAAATCAAGGTTAAAGAAATCAATAAAATAAAAGATGGATACTCATAATTAATGATTAACATATAATCAAAATATATCAATAAATAGTAAAAATAAAGTAAAAGTCAAATATAACTTAAAGTATAGAAATTTACGAATAAAAATACAAATGCACAAGAAAATGTAGGAAAAAAACCATCAAATCATTGACCATTCATCCATTTACTTCTCTAACAAAGCACAATCGTTTTATTACAAAATATATATCAGCTAAATCTTTAAAAGTTCATTATGTAAAAAATATTCAAGAATATTTTCAAATAAACAATTATGGGGTAATTATGGCATTGGCCTCCATCATCTACAAACATCAGTGGATAATATATATAAATATATGCAATTTATGTATATAGTATAACAATGCTTTGAAAGGTGAGAAGATGTAAAGAAACCTATATTAATAAAATTAATTGGAAGCAAAATTATAAACTCGGCGATCAATGTTTGAATCGCATTATAAAAATTGCATGGTGTACGAGTTAAAAACTCAATTGTTACACAATCACTTTACAAACAACAAAAGTTACAAATATAATGTCATCCGAAAACAATAACAAGATATACAAAAACTGTTATTTCTATGAGAAATGATTAAATCATAAATTTTGATTGATATGTGGTGCTTCACTTTTTATTGCTTAACATTGAACATCAGATCACAATTATTTTTATATCCTTCATTAAAACTATTTGTGGATCTTTTTTCCACAAAAATCAAAATATTATTACTTTTTTACAATTATTTTTCTAACGCATTTTTTTCTCAAACATATACGTTACATAAAATAACATGTATACAATCTCTTATACAATAAAGTTGAGTTTTCTCACTTCTCAAGCCTCCACATCAGCATTAGAACATGAGACAAAAAAAAAAACATGTCAGCAATTACTAACTGAAATCAAACCGGACAAAATTAATTCTTCTCATCTCGGTTTGTCACATTCTGATTTTTTTGATTATTTTGAGTTTTTTGACAAAATGGGTTTGGGCTCTTCAAAATATAATGGCCAGTTATAGAATGATTTATATATTACCCAACTTGCAGAATTCTTTTTAAGATTTACACACATTCTCAGTCCGTTAAGTCGTCTTCTTACCTTAGGTTTCAGAGATAAAACCGACGGTCACTTTTTTGTAAAGTTTTTTTTTTACCTTTTTTTAAAGTTTGTTTTCATGCATCTTTATATTTTATATTTCATATTAAATAATTAACACTTGCACAACTTACAAGGTGCATAGTTTGTATCACATATATTGCAACATCTTCGGCATTTTAGTGTACACAATTTAAAGTAACAAATGATAATAATTAACACAAATTAATAGAATTATGAAGATACCATTATAGAAAATTATAAACTCTTTCATAACTCATATAAGATTAGACAAACTACAGAGCTAATGAACACTTGCACAACTTCTAAAAGAATAAACAAAGAGCATGGCTTATATCACTTTGTCTAAACAAAGGTCGGAGCTTATATCACTTTGGTTTATGATTGCCACATATATAAGAATCTGTTCAAAAAAATGATTGCCACATATACAAGGTCTTAGATGGGAAATTTATAAGTAACAAACTGATAATAATTAACACAAAATGATAAAATTAAGAAGTTACCATTACAGAAAATTATGAACACTTGCACATCCCATAAAAGATTAGACACATTTCAGAGCTTATATAACCTATATTGACACATCCTATACGCTTAGAAGACAAGTTTATAAATAACAAACTGCTAAAAATTAACACAAAAAATTGGATTTAAGAAGCTATAATCTTACAAATTAAAGCTTATTATTGCAAGGTGCCTACACGCCTCCCAACTGAATGATTAGCTCACACTGTAAATGCAGTGTAATTGCAAAAGCCAGTAGTTACGTATCTCCTACATTCTTTCACTACACAGTTCTGATGTAACCTCTTGATTCTTAATTACTCAATCATTGCGATTTTCAGAAATAATGGTGAAGATGCCAGTTGAATTTAATGGCAAAGCAACCACAGGGAGATCTCCAAAAAATCTTAGTGTTTCTGAACACTCCAGCGCATCATCATCATTTGTAACCAAAAGAAGTCATAAAATAAAAAAAAATTGGTCTAAAGGAGACGTAAACTTATTCTTTATGACTTTGACAACTTACTCTTTTGTAAACAAATTTATGTACTTATTCCTACTCTTTAATCTTTGTTCCTCCAGTATCTGAACCACTGCAGCCTTGGCTACAAGAGAAATATCTACCACGTACACCAGCCCCCCACTCCCCCCCTATCGGACACCTATCAGCTAAAGCTCATCTTAATAGTGAGGGAATAAATCAGTACTTCTTCCACCACAAATCAATCAAAGCACTCAATCACCTCACATGTGCCAATCTGCTTATGGAAAATACGATAAGGGTATGTATCTTTGTGGTTTAGTAATGTTGTGCAGAGGAAACCCAAAGAAGGAAAATATTTCTTTGATATCCTTGACTAGGAACACACACTATCAAAATCTGATCGCTGCTGGAATAAGATTAAGAGGTTCAAGTACTTTGGATATCCGATCAGATTTCTTTGATACACTACTGCAGTCTGCAGCAATGCTATCAAGAAACTTATGTTCGGGACAAGAACGTTCTCTGAAAACACCGCACCTGACGGTGGACCAACGGCAGAGGATATTGAGCATATGGAAGCTATGTTTGAAGCATTAGGGTTTAAGTTCGCCTTTTGTATCTCTGATTATCTACATATGCTCACAAGACTTGATCTTAACGGTCACGAGAATGGTGGCGTTTAAGATATAAACGATCAGCCTAGGATTGTTACTATTTTGTGTATANTTTGTATCTCTGATTATCTACATATGCTCACAAGACTTGATCTTAACGGTCACGAGAATGGTGGCGTTTAAGATATAAACGATCAGCCTAGGATTGTTACTATTTTGTGTATAAGATATAAACGATCAGTCTAGGATTGTTACTATTTTAAGAGGACGAAACTATAAATTATCTTCCTTGAAACAACTTAATCACAAAACAAACACAACTATTTACATTATTTATTCACAAACATGAACTTTACTTTATGTTTAAGTATTTACTAAATTAACTTTGTAAAGTCTATCAAATTTTTATTCTACTTTTATTTGTTTTGATTAATAACAACCACTTATGATACTCCACTAATAATCAGAAAATATTCTTCAACATAGTTACAACATCAAATTTCTGAACATAATCTCTTCAATAAAACCACAAAATAAATCGTAACTTTTTTTATAATAATATATATGAATCCGGCGCGTAGCGCTGGCACACCACTAGTTTAAATATATAGTGGAAGAATCGATTTAAGACAGAAGTGACTAGCCTTTTTGGATCCATATCTCAAAGACAAACTTCTCTTGTATCTCTTTCCTCTCCACCTTAAACTTTTTTATCTCTCGTATTTCTTGAAGACCTCCTTCTCTGTATCTGTTCTTCACAAAAAAAATCTTGAAGAAAGAAAAAGAAATAATAATTTATAAGTTGATCTGGTGTATTGGAAGAACCCCCTCGAAGTCAGAACTTCTTTTTGCTTTTTGTTGCTTCCCCATAGATTTTCCTAGGAAGTAGCCCAAGGAAATCACCCAAAAGGTCTTTTTTTTTTCCCTGTACCCACAAATCAAAACCATCTCCCCTGTTTTCGATTATGTCTAACATCTCTCAAATTTACAGTCAACAGAGTTAAGAAGGATTATTCACCAACCTGAGGTTCGGGTGTGTTTTCATCTATTTCAGGTATAATTCTTCATCATAGTTACTAGCTGTAGTAATTAACCAATAGTTACTTTATCCACTAATTATGAATCTACGATATACGATCTCTTGTTTTTTTTTTTTTTATGTTTTAGTCATTAATCTTTCAAACATACTCAATCCTCAATACTGGGTGCTTCTCTTCTTCTTTTTTCAGTAAAAGCTCATTGCTTTTTTTCTATGATATTATTCTTACATTAAGGAGAGAGTGAAAGGTAAATCATTTGCTTTACTTCCAAAACAGATGATTAAACAAAAGTTGATGAAAATAATTTTTATGCACTGTAATGAGTACCTTTTAAGCTCAGTCAGTTATGGAGTTTGTGTTTGTTTAGAACACAAGCAAGCTTTTTATGTCCATTTACATATAACTATTTTGTTCCCTAACTTCATACTTTTTAGTCTAGTACCCAGTCAGGTGATGGATATAGGAGGTTAAATTTCAAAAAAGTTGTTTATACTTGATTTATAAGTGCACTACAACTTTTAGTTGATTGATTATATAAAACTAGGTAAGAGTCACATGAACTCATTGTTTCTTACAACCTACTATATCCGTTTCATTTTAATTATCATTTTAAATTTGTCCACTTATATTAAAAATATTAATTTTATATATTTATAAATAAAACATCAATATTTATAAATATAATACTATATTTTAACCAATATAAAAAATAAACTGAAAATATTAAAAAATCATATAACATATAAATTAATAATTTGATAAATTTTGAATTTAATTTTAAATTGCTATTTGTTTTGAAAACACAAAGTTTACTTTATATTGAAAATTAAAATAAAATTGATGGAGTATTTACTATGATTGATTAACTTTGTAGTATTCATATATATAAGGAATATAAAATAGTAAACACAATCGGCAAACATATATAAGTACCATGACCATTCAGAATTCCACATAGACATTAGTTCCTCTCTGTCATATAATTTTTGTTTAGTATTCATGTATGTTTGTTGAATGTTATTTTTATTTTATGTACGTGACAGTGCATCGACCATGATGAATACCTAATCTGAGAGATTGACAGTTCTGCCCTTGGATATCACCGTAAATGACGAGAAGACCAGACCTCCGACGTGGCATACTCGCCACCGTGGCCGTAATAACAATACTCCTCTCAATTTTCCCGCCAATTACCGAATCGACCGTTGAGAAACAAGCTCTGTTTCGCTTCAAAAACCGCCTCAACGACCCTCACAACGTTCTACAATCTTGGAAACCCTCCAATTCACCCTGCACGTTTCACGGCGTCACGTGCGATCCACTCTCCGGAGAAGTCACTGGTATCTCTCTAGAGAACGCGAATCTCTCTGGCTCCATCTCTCCGGCTATCTCATCTCTCACAAAGCTCTCTACCTTATCCCTTCCCTTTAATCTCATCTCCGGCCAGATCCCGTCTGAGATAGTTAACTGCACAAACCTCAAAGTCCTAAACCTCACCTCAAACAGACTCTCCGGTACGATCCCTGACTTCTCCCCTCTGAAAAACCTGGAGATCCTCGACGTCTCCGTGAACTTCTTAACCGGAGAGTTTCAGAGCTGGGTAGGGAATCTGACTCGGTTGGTTTCTCTCGGTGTGGGAAACAACTACTACGAAGAAGGCGAGATTCCGAAGAGAATCGGCGGTTTGAAGAGACTCACTTGGCTCTACTTAGCTAAATCCAACTTGACCGGACACATTCCAGACTCCATATTTGATCTGATCGCTCTCGACACTTTCGACATCGCCAGGAACGCAATCTCGGGAGATTTTCCAGCCTCGATCACGAGGCTGGAAAATCTCACCAAGATCGAGTTATACGAGAACAGATTCACCGGTGAAATCCCACCGGAGATCGGAAACTTGACTCATTTACGCGAGCTTGATGTCTCTTTGAACCAGCTGAGTGGCGCGTTACCTCGAGAACTCGAAAACCTGAAAGAGCTCAGAGTCTTCCACTGTCATCAAAACAACTTCTCCGGCGAGTTTCCTTCGGGTTTCGGAGAAATGCGTTTCTTAACTTCCTTATCGATCTACAGGAACAACTTCTCCGGTGAATTCCCAGCGAACATCGGTCGGTTTTCGCCGTTGGACACCGTTGATATATCCGAAAACCGGTTTACAGGTCCATTCCCTCGTTTCTTATGCCAGAACCATAAACTACAGTTCTTACTCGCCTTGCAGAATGAATTCTCCGGCGAGATTCCGACATCCTACGCAGGATGCAAATCTCTCTTGAGGCTCAGGATTAACCAGAATCTTCTTACTGGTCACGTTCCTGAAGGCTTCTGGGCTCTGCCGCTAGCTAAGATGATCGATCTCAGCGATAACAGTCTCTCCGGGGAGATCTCTTCTCAGATAGGACTCTCAACGGAGTTGAGCCAGCTGATTTTGCAGAACAACAGATTCTCCGGCAAGATCCCTCGTGAAGTTGGGAAGTTGACAAATATAGAGAGGATTTATCTGAGCACCAACAGTTTTTCAGGTGAAATACCGACAGAACTCGGAGACTTAAAACAGTTGTCTTCTCTGCATCTTGAAAACAATTCACTGACAGGATATATCCCTGTCGGATTGACAAAATGTGTCAGACTTGTTGATCTGAATCTTGCCAAGAACTCTTTATCCGGAGAGATACCTAACAGTTTATATCAGATCTCTTCTTTGAACTCTTTGGACCTCTCAGGGAACGGGTTAACGGGAGAGATCCCTGCGACTCTAGTGAAGCTGAAGCTGAGTTTCATAGATTTGTCTGAGAATCAACTCTCAGGAAGAATACCACCTGATCTCTTAGCGGTGGGAGGTTCCACCGCGTTCTTACGCAACGAGAAGCTCTGTGTAGACAACCAAAACGTCAAAACAAGTGAAGAATCTGCTCTGAGCTTATGCAGTGGCGACCAGCACGTGGAGAAGAAGCGTTCACTAGACGGAACGCTCTTGTTCTTGGCTCTTGCTATTGCCATGGTAGTGCTGGTGACTGGTGTGTTTGCGTTGCGTTACAGAGTTGTGAAGATACGTGAGTTCGACAGAGAAAACGGGGATATCAACAAGGCGGATGCGAAGTGGAGGATCGCGTCTTTCCATCAGATGGAGCTAGACGCTGAGGAGATTTGTAAATTGGATGAAGATCACGTGATTGGAGCTGGAAGTGCGGGGAAGGTGTACCGTGTTGATTTGAAAAAAGGCGGTGGTACGGTGGCGGTTAAGTGGTTGAAGAGAGGAGAAGAAGATGGTAACAAAACAGACGTCTGTGTTGCGGAAATGGAGATTCTTGGAAAGATCAGACACAGAAACGTGTTGAAGCTATACGCTTGTCTTGTTGGAAGAGGTTCTAGCTATCTGGTGTTTGAGTTCATGGAGAATGGAAACTTGTATCAGGCTCTTCACCAGAATATTAAAGGTGGACTACCTGAATTGGATTGGCAAAAACGGTACTCTTTCTTCTCTACTCTCTAGTCTAGTCTAAATACTATTTTGACCATTTTATGTCAAAAACAGGTATAAAATCGCGGTGGGGGTTGGTAAAGGAATTGCATATTTGCATCATGATTGCTGTCCTCCGATCATTCACAGAGATATAAAGTCAAGCAACATATTGCTTGACGGGGATTATGAGTCGAAAATCGCGGATTTTGGAGTTGCAAAAGTTGCAGAAAAGGGATATGAATGGAGCTGTGTTGCTGGGACTCATGGCTATATGGCTCCCGGTGAGTCATTTTGCGGTTTCAAGTGGTTTTTACTATAAACTGATTTGTTTTGTAATGAGTGCAGAGCTGGCTTACTCCTTCAAGGCAACAGAGAAGAGTGATGTGTACAGTTTCGGTGTGGTTCTTCTAGAGATAGCGACTGGTCTTCGGCCAGTGGAAGACAGGTTCGGAGAGGGCAAGGACATTGTTGACTATGTTTTATTTAAAATCCAACAAGATCGGAGGAACCTTAGAAACGTCTTGGACAAGCAAGTTCTGTCTTCTTCTGTAGAGGAAAGCATGATTAAGGTTCTGAAAATGGGTCTTCTCTGCACTACAAAGCTCCCTAGTCTCAGACCAAACATGAGAGAGGTCGTGAGAAAGCTTGAAGACGCTGATCCATGCGTCTGCAACTCTCTAGACAGAACCGGAAAGATTACAGTGTAGGTTTATTGAGTCAATAGACTAGTCACAACAACTTGTTTGTATTCAAAACTCAGAGTAAAATAGAATGAGACAATGCTAAATAAATACAAAGTAACCTAAACATGGTTCTTTGTCAAGCTATCTCATCAGTTAACAATTTCGATTCCGGTGAGAGGAAGTCCTCCATGCAACTGTAGAGCTACATCTCCGACAACCTGTGTATCATAAAAGTTGAGTTTAGTTTTTTTTTTTTTTGGGCAAAAAAAGTTGAGTTTAGTAACAAATGAAGAAAAATGTAATAGTGTTAAGTATGTTCCTTAAGATAGTTTACCTTGGCCATGGACCTATATGAAAACTCTGTAACTCCAGCGACATGAGGGGTCATGATAACGTTTTTAAACTTCAAAATCGGATCGTTTGGATCAAAGGGTTCAGACCACGCCACGTCAGTCCCTAGGCCTCCCAGGTGACCGGACTCCAGACTCTGGTAAGCTGATTCATAGTTTACCAGACCGCCTCTAGCAATATTTACAAGAAGAGCACCCTGAAACAACAAGAGTTATCACCAGTCATAAGTCATCACAATCAAATCAAACTATATAAATCGCCATGGGAATAATCTACCTTTTTCATTGAAGATATGAAGTTCTTGTTCACGATTTCAGCCTGAGATCACCCATGCATAAACTATCAGTTACACTACCAAAGACATCTCTTGCATATATCTTCATGTGCTTGACCTGTCTTATAATGAAGAAGAAGTTGACATTACCGTTTCTTTGCTAAGCCTTAAGCACACAACGACTATATCTGCTTTGCTAGCGAATGTGTAAATGTCATCATGGCTACCTTTCTCATCAACTAGATTGGCTGGAAGATACAAGTTAACAAGTTACTAGACCTTCCTCATGATGGGTTATGTCAAGGCAAACAGAGGAATAAGGCGAGAGACCATACATTCTGAATCCATACTGGAAAGTGGCCAGCTTCTTTTTGTAGCTATGACTCTCGACCCAAACGGCTTCAACCGTTTAGCTAGCTCTATTCCAATGTTACCATATCCCAAGATAAACACCTACACAAAAGATACAAAACAATAACTTTCAGAAGGGATACAAACCAAAGATATTAGAAAGCACATGTATAATCACACTGAGACTCACAGTTTTACCGAGAAGAGTTCCACCAGTTGGCTGTCCAAGTAGTCTACTTTGTACAGACACCTGCATTTCGTTCTGCAATAAAATTAAAAATCAAATTAAATTACTAATAGAGCCACACAGAGAAAAATGAAAACAGATGAAGCAACCTGTTTCTTAAGAAGGCCAAGCATTAGATAAATAGCCATTTCAGAACAAGAGACTGCGTTTCCGTTACCCTCACTGGGGATTCTAGCGACCTTGATCCCATGTTTAGTAGCAGCATCAATGTCAACACCTTTTTACAATCAAATCACACTAAAAATATGTAAGTAAACCGCAGCTTGAGGTGCAGTGACTACAATAATGAATAGAAAAGTTTAATCAGATACCGTCGAGACCAACACCGAACTGCATAAGAAGCTTCATGTTGGTGGCACGAGAGATAACATACGAATCCATTTGCATCAACATAGTCACACATATATGATAGTTCTTTATAACCTCAGGAACATCACGGAGATGGGCAACATCTGCCTATATGAACACAAAGCAGATACAACTCAAACACAACTCAGTAACTAATCTAGGATGAATAAAGTTGAGAACTTTAGTTAGCAATCAAATAGTTTCTCTTACCTGAATAAAAGGGTAAGGTTGCAAGTAATCTCTAGTGAAATTGTAAGAATCAGGAAAGTGAGGGCCGCAAAACAGAACACGAGTTACTTTCTTGTCTTCTTTCTCAACCATTCTCTCGGGCTTAACTAATTTACTTTCCCTAAAGAATACAATTTTAATTGATTAACAAGAAGATACAGACAGATCTACCAACTGGTCAAGATGGAACAGAGGATGAGTTTTGGTTGCACCTGGAGACTGAGCGAAACTGAGGAGAGTAGAGGAGCGAAGATAGAGAGGAGTTTTTGTTTCTAAACGCAGTCTTGGCGATGTTAAACATCGTCGTCGTCAGTCCAATCACATTTGCCACACGTTGATGATGCGTTTTACTTGAATCGAACTTACCACAATTTCATATGTTTCTCAAATAAATAGTTATTGCCGTTTAGCCCCAACATTTAGTTATTTTCTGTTAAACCCTCTATTTCAGCTTTTCAAAACAAAACAAAAAAGTTTTTTTTGGCCAAAAAGGATTTGTTCTTTTTTTTTTTTTGGGTAACTGAAATAGATCTTTTGAGTAGAAATACAAATTGGAAGGTTTATATGCTGGGATTGAAGATTTGTTTTGGACAGTCTTATGTATGAGAGTCATGAGGATAATTTTGATATGGTACGAGACAAACCACTCAGATTTAGTAGACATGACTAGAAACTCAGTGGATTAGTCGATTTTCACGATAGAGATCAAGATATTCCAAGAATTACAAGAGAATTTTGAAAATGTGAGTCTATCTCATATTCTTTAGAGTAAGAATGGTGGGATGAACGTGTTACCAAAAAAAACAAGGATCAGAAGTTTTAATTTTTCCCATATAGATCAGATCCAGTTAGATAAAGATGTTTGTTTAGAAAATCGATTCGTCAGACCCCTAATTTTTAGTTTAGTTTGGTAGTTGACTAAAAAGAAGAAAGTATAAATACAAATAGATACTTAGGACAACTAATATACTATTCTATTTTGACTCTAATTGGAGAGTACATTTTTCTTACTCCCAAGTAAAAATTGATATTTTTCTTCTTTATTTATTCGGAAATTCATGACTCAAAATTCATTAGGAATAATTTAAATATATATGAAAATTGGTGTTTCTAATTTCCAGGAAATCACTAAGAGCAAGTCCATAAAATTTTGAAAGTATAGATAATTTAATAAAAAGTTAAATAACATTTTTGCTTTTTGACCATTTAAAATTTTATGAATATATGAAAAAATTATGTATATCTTATATATTAAAACAGAAATCATGATTATTTTAATGTGTGATATTTTAAAATGGATCCTCTATTAGAATTTATAACATTACATTATTCATTCATTAATAATATTTATTGGATTCATTAATAACATTTATTGAGCTTACCAAAAAAAAATTATTGGGCTAATAATACTTAGATGGTCTATTGGATTTATAGATAGTATAATGAAATACAAGTTTAAATTAAATTTATATAAGTTAATTATTTATATATTTTCCTATGTTAACTTTTAAAATTATATAGTTTATTTTTAAAAATAACAAAATCATCATTTTCTAACAATAATTAATATATACTATCTTAAACCAATGAAAACACTTTAAAAACAACAGAAATTATTTTTTTAATTAATTACTCCATAATATGAAGCTAACAATTTTGTTAAATTTTGTTAATCCATATATATATATATACAAGATGATACAAATACATGTGAAAATTTCAAATAATCTATTCCATGAAAACTAATATATGGTAAAATTGTTATCTTTTAAAAAATCGATATACACACCTCATATAATATATACTAATTTAGAATTGAAAACAAAATGTTTATCAGAAATAAATGAAAATCAATATTCACACGGTTGCGCGGGTTGAAATCTAGTTAATTCTTATAAATGTAAGAGCCACGACCGAATTATGTTTGTAGTGTAGCGATCGTGTTGTAATCTTTGGGGTATCACAACACATTAAGGAGACCACTATACCACATACTAATTAACTGTGTGTATATGCCACACTAAGTGACATATATCATACATATATCAGTTTGTGGCTTATACACCTACATGAGTAGTTACATTCCACCTAAACAAACCATTGACCAAATACTAATTATATTTTGTATTGTAATTGCTGACGAATTGTTTTATTTCTTTTTAAATAGTAGACCCCAGAAAGAAAACAAAGAACGTAGCGTACTTCGTTCCATAATTACATTAAAACTGAAAATGCAGAATGCGAGAATAAAAACGAAATATGTACAAAGTTAAAACTTTCTCAAATAACCAATTAAACAAATTGGTCTACACAGGGCTACTAGCATCGCTGGAGCGAAGGTGATCCGAGGAACGTTCACCGATATTGTTGTTTAGTGAACGTTCACCATTGTTGCTCTTTCCGAGAAACAACCTATCAAACGGTGACTTCATCGCTAGAAGCAGACTCTTAGGTGTACTCGCACGCACCTGATCACCACCGCCACATGGAGACGTATTAATCGAACATGTCCGGAAAGGAGGTGTTATGGAGAATGGTCTACGGTCGAACCGGCCATCTTGGTCATCAAACCGTTCATAGTAGAAATAGTTTCGATCTGTCTCTAAACCACCGGTTCGGTACCCACTCGTTGGACTCATCACCTGAGGTAACTCTACGTGGCTTTTTGAAAGACTTGGGTCCACTAGCTTATTGTGCATGTTTAGCGGTAACCTAAGCGTGAACCGGTCTAGATTCTCCACATGTTGACCGGTCCAATCAAAACCGGTTAAATTCCTTCCGGTAGACAGAGACCTACGTGACATACTCTGGTTACCTGTCAACGCCACCGAGTCAATCAACCTCACATCCGGAGAACTCAAAACCGTAGTGCTGTCACCGGTTAAACCAGAGCGGGGAGCGTCGTGGGCTAAACCGGGTATCTGGACAGAAACAACCGGTTCGCCCGGTACAGGGACGAGACTAGCGCGGCAGAGAGGACATGTGGCATGAGACCGGAGCCAAGCGTCTACACAACCAGGATGGAACACGTGGCAACATTTAGGAAGCAAACGCAACGTTTCATCGTCTTCGAACTCGTTTAAGCAAACAGGACACTCAAGGGCCTCTTTACCGATCTTGAGCGTCTTCACCGTTGAGTAACGGAACATAGGAAAAGTCTCGATGACCGACGCGTCGAGTCCACGCGCCTGTGGACGGTTCAGGGAAAGCCAGTTTCCACCGAGGTCGAGGGGGTGTTGGTTGTTGCTCCCCATGCATCGTTCAAGACACCTACGGATATAGATGGAGAAAAACCCGAGAGCAAAGAAGACGCTGACGAGGACGATCATGAGTATTGCCATGGTTGGGTCGAACCGAGAGCTTTCTCCATACATATCTGAACCGTTGTGAGTTTCAGCTGAAGCTTGGCTAGAGAAGAGCACGAGAAAGAGAAGTAGCTGTAGACTCGAACCATGATGACTAATGATTGAACGGATGAGGATGATTCTACTTTGGGTGTTCATGAGGACAAAGCTTTACCCGGTTTTGCTCTCTGGTCCATGCAACGTTCCTATGTTTTTTCTTTGGAAGGACAAAAAAAAAGTTATTGGTGTGATGATCAAAGGAAATGATATGATAAGATCACAAGAAGGAGAGGAAAAATAAGAGAAACTGCGATTTGGGGTTGCTCAATGGTTACAAAGGGCCTTTTGTGGTTGGTAGGTTGACTTTGGAGGTTGAACTGTGGCTCTATTTAAAAGATGTTGCATCATATTCATGATTAGTAATGTTTTATCTATAACATTTTTTATAGAGAATATGATATATGATTGTGATTTCCCATCAAGAAGTTGGGATGTATTTATCAATGGAGCAACCAGTTAGTCCAAATATGACCAAGATTTGTTAATGTTCTGGTTGTCTAACTGTGGTTTTGTAATTGTGTAATCTCTCTATTTTCTAAAGTATTTCAGGCTAATCCCACTAATAATACTGGTATTGTTTCGCATTTTATTTTTTAACGCGAACAGTATGAGTGAAATTAAACATATTTTAAATGTCAGTACGTAGTCCGTCCACATCAAATTCAAATCATAATTCTTTTTTCTTACAAAGATTTTGATGTATCATAGAATCACAACGGTATTGGTAACCCTCTAGAAAAAAGCAGTGCGCGTGTGAGATGGTGGTTCTTTGGTCAAATATGATTTTAAAACTTGTATGTCAAGTAGAGCATCTGCATTTCGCACTATGGGTTTATCACGCACGAAAGTTTTAAGTTGACTAACAAAATAAAATCTGTGATCACTAATTTGACTTTGCATCGTGCTTCATCCCATGTTGTTATCACGTCGTTATCTAATTATTGGTTATGTTCTTATGCAAAAACTCTATAGGATCCATGCTCTTGTTGATTATCTTAAGAAACTATAAAGGTTTTAGAGCCTCAATCTGATCATATCCTATGGATGGATAATGATTGGATTAGAGAGGTGGTGACTTAGACTACGGGTGATATGATATTATATACATATACATTACAAGAATAAGATAAGTAGTGTTGACAAAAAGGTGAATATATACGTTAAAAATGCTCTAACTGGATCAGTTAAATAAACTATATATAATACCGTCCAGTGTCGTTTTCAATTTTTGCTGACATAATTGTATTATATATTATCTTCTTGACTAAATTGGTATGTATATATCATGTGATTTCATTAAATTTGTTTATTCTTGTACAAATTGTAATATATATGTCTTGCTAATCTTCTATTGACTTAGAACTCGATTTGGTTAAAGTAGGAAAATGAATGTGAGTGCGGCTGTGAAATTTTTCGGAAGATGATAGTTATTGATATAAGCGTCACTAATATGCTTGGTATACAGGTGAAAAGTGAAAACCAAAATGTTTCGTAAGAATATTTTGACTGGTTGATAACAAATAATTATCAATTTCATTAACTAATCCATGTACTGAGTATATAAAATATTGATCTGATGATATTTTATAAGAGATGACAAGGTTTTCAACGTAACTTTTCCAATGCTCAATTTGTTTTATAATCTCTCTTTATAGTTCTCAAACTAGTGTATCCGAGAATATATAATTCTGTTTTTTTTTTCTTTGAACAACAATTCTATCATATCTATGTCAATCATATAATTGTTGAAATAAGATCCCTGGTTCCTAATAATATTGAAAACGAATTGAAGATCATTAATATATGTTTGTCCATCATTGGGCTTCATGGATTTATATTAATAGCATGTGATGACTGATAAGGTTAGTAATTCATTTGAGCCCAAATATACGTACTGTTTTGCTTTATATATTGATACATTTAAACATCCAGTCATCCACCCAATGTAACCAATATTTTATATCTTTTTTATCAAACCAATATTTTATATTCTTTTTTGGTCAAAAAATATTTTATATTCTTAAGACACAATTATAGATAGAATATTGTGAAGATAACATATGATTCCAACAACTACAGTCCTCAAATTGGAATTTCAGGTATCAGGGTTTCCGCTTAAACCGCATGCTAATCGCAGTTATCTATTATATTAAAATAGAAATTATAATTCAGTGTAAATTTTTTTTAAGTTAGATCATCATTAAAAAATTTATAAATTTACATAACATTATTATAGTATTTTTTCATTTATTTAATTTTATTTGAAATACAACAAACGTTTTTTTTTTGAAAATTCTAACAATATCTATGTAAGATCTTTTGGATTTTTTAAAAATATATTTTCAAAAATTAGTAATTGAAATTTTAATTAGAAAAATATAATTAAAAATATTCATTTTTATTTATAACAAAATTATGTAAAATAATTTTAACAGTATCATAAAAATTTGCTTCTCTATTATGTATGTCCAACTTAATTTAATTTCCATATATATTTCAAATTTAGAAATTAAACAACTATTATTGTTATATAATAATATTTGTTTTTAAATTGTTATAAATTTATAAGTTTTATAATAATAATATTATAATCCACTTAAACATTATTATAAAGTTGATATTATATATTATCAAATTCTATTAATATATTGATAATTTTTATTGTATAACTGAAAACATTTTAATATTAAAAAATCTGTACGATTAGGCGGATTAAGATCTAATTTATATTAAAAAGGTAGATTAGAGTGTGTGTGACCACTTACCAGGGTGCTTATAGTTGTAAGTTTGTAACCTGTGCCTTTATGCGCAAATATAGTATTTGGATGTTCAAAATTAAATTACAACAAACTGCAACATGCATTTTCGTGCGTATGAGGTGTCCAGGGTTCCTGCTATATGCAGGCAACAAAACTTTAATTTGATATTCCGGTCTACGTGAGAAATCATATTTGTGTATTTAATATAATTATAAAACGTCAAATATTCATTTCCTTGAGATACGACGAAGTTAACATATATTATCCAGAAGATGAAAGTAACTATAGAATTATGTTATGTTTTATCAAAAAAAACTATAGAATTATGTCTCAACAATGAAGAAAGCATTATAGGCTTGTTGTAGTTTTTCTTTAAAAAAACATTTAAAGTGCTCATGCTTAAGAGTCCATTTGAATACCCGAAGATAGAGAGGATATATCCGTGGGCTGCATCTACTTTTGGGGATTCGTCTGAACCTCTCCATAGGTTTATGATACCCCAAATTAATTATAAAAAAAACATTTAAAGTGTATTTACTAACATTTTTTGAATATTATTTTAAACCATCATCATAACATCGGTATCAAAACTTGTTATAGTTGATGTGTTATAGGTGATTTAAAATGTTAATATCTCATTCCCATTCTAATATTCTCATATGTAAGAATATTTATTTGTATATGACCTATGTGTCTCTTAACTTAATTATAAATATCAAATTCACATTAACATTATGAATTCCAATATTAAAGATGACACTTTGATGGCTCAATTTCCTTAAAGACATAAGAATTTGGGTATATTGATAATCCTCATTTCTTATCTTATTTTATATATCTTATATATGATCACTACAAAAAACAGTCGAAATCTGATGAAAAATTTCATCGAATTACGCGATTCCAATAAAATTCCGACGAAAATCTTCTTCGGTATAAGTTCGTCGGGAAAAAAATTCGTCACAGTTTTCTCAAAATTTTCCGACGAAATTCCAACAGCGAAATTTCTGATGAAATTCCGACGAACAAAATTCCAACAAATATGTAAATTAATTTAAAATATATATATGTTCCATTAAATTAATTAATTACCATAAATAAAATAAAATTTATCTATTTCTAATAATTTCTTATTTTTAATTAAATAAATTTTATTTTAGAAATATTTTTTGTAAATCCATACAACTGAAATTAAAAACAATATTATACAAAAAAAAATTTTACATAAATTAAAAACAACATTTTAAAGTTTTTAAATTAAAAAAAAAAAACTAAAAATGATCTGGGAACAACCGCTTCATCTTGTCCAATATCTCTGCATTGGATCTCTTTTGATCTGCCAATTCAACAAAAATTGTAGTGATATGCGTCTCCAACACTACAATCCGCTCATCTTTATTTTGCAGCTGCTCCATAATCACGGAATCATGATGGGCTTGTGAAGAAGAAACTGGACAGGAGGACGCACGACAAGCCAACCCGACCAAATGTCTTTTCCTTTTTGGAACCGCCTATGAAAAAAATAAATTAAATTAAATATTAATAATCAAATTAAAATAATAATGAAAGGAAAATTATTGTATATATAAATAATATAAAAAATCAATAATTTTTAAATAATATTAAATTTTTTTATATTTTGAAAATGTTTATAATTCCTAAATTCTAATTATAACATTTTAGAAATGTTTCTAATTTGTAACAAGTTTATATATATATATATATATAAATATTATTAAAATATTTATATTTTGAAAATGTTTATAATTCCTAAATTCTAATTATAACATTTTAGAAATGTTTCTAACTTGTAACAAGTATATATATATATATAATATTAAAATATTTGTATTTTGAAAATGTTTATAATTCCTAAAATATAATTGTAACTTTTAAAAATATTTATAATTTGTACCAAGTTTATATATATATAATATTAAAATATTTTATATTATATAAATGTTTATAATTCCTAAACTTTAGTTATAATTCAAAAAATCCAATTATAATTCCAAAACTCTAATTAGAAATTTTCTTAGAAAATACTAAACGTTTATATATATTAAAAATTAAAAACGTTTTATAAAAGTTTCATAAAAATACCATATAATTCCTAAAATCTACAAATTTAACATCTAAAACTTTCAATCTACATATAAACCACAACCTAAAACGAAATTTAACAACATATACCTCCTAAAACTATCAATTATATCCTAAATATTCAGATTTAAAACCTAAAATCCACAAATCCAACATTCTAAACCTAAAAATATCTAGTGTAAAGAAGGGTTTAGATGACTTACATGATTGGGGAAGAGAATTGGAGGATTTGAGGTTAATATCAGCGGTTTGTGAGAGAGAAAAGGGAGGGTCGCGGAGATTGCAGAGAAGAAGAGAAGAAAATGAGGAAGAAGAGTAGTTTTCGGGCTATGTATTAAAAACAAACCGACGACCGTGTCCGTCGAAATTCTATCGGTTTGTTTTTAAGCGGTTAACCAAAAAAAATTGCAAATATTTTTTTCGGGTAAAGTGAAAATTT